ATATGAATAGTTGAGTTAATATTATTAATAAGAAGCTTAGTCAAAACGAACATATAGTTTTGAGAGCAGACAAAGGAGGAGCAGTTGGATTTATGGCTAGCGCAAATTATATATAAAAATATTATGCAGGCTTTAGCTGAGTTTGAGAGGTCCGGGATGCAAGACGGTGAGCCGAGCGCTTCTTCGCAAAATTCAACAGTCAAAAGTCGACGAGGCCAATTTCCAAATCCTTTCCCCTTGCCTCTTCAAACGAAATGAAAGCTATGCCAGTATGAGATCAACGAACACTTCATCTATTGTCTTTGCACGAATGCTCTCCCTATTCGTTTTTCTGAAAAAGCTAAGACCCGTTTAACTTCATTTTGGCTTTTTCTTGCCTTTGTTAGGCTTAGCTACGGAGTCTCAAATTTGCCTGTTATAGAGGCATGCAGCCATGCGTATCCATGACACTAGAACATAGGATATCTACAGCTAAGCCGCATCGGGATACATAACTTCAAAGAAGGCTGAAAGAGAAATCATCCAGTGTGAGTTCATTCAATTAGACGCGTCTATGAAGGTTCTTTACATCAACTCGAGACTATGTATGAAACTGTCCAGTCTCGACATCACCAAGCATAAATTACATAACATATTTGGAGAATGATACTTGTGCACGTGGCGAGCTGAACAGAACATTTCGGATAAATACAAAAGCTTTTGGGCGCAGTCAGACTCAGTGCTAGTTTAGCAGCGTTTAGTGCGCAAACAACCTTTTGGCGTCACCGAACTGATTTACACGGATTTAGATAAATGGCTTAAGAGGTGAGGCATTCCAGCCCGAGTAGGAATGGGACCTTTCCGAGACGGTCGGTTAACTCACCTGCGACATAGCGGCATTCAGGAAGGCCTCAGTGGGTCCATTCCAGGCAAGGAGGAGTGTGTATCCGGCATAGATGCTTAGCAAACTGGAGGCCTGCTTCGAGGAGGCCACCGAGTTGGGGCCTGCGTAGACAAGTAGTGCGAGTCGCACGAAAGCTGGCGCTAGAGTCAAGCCAAGCCAACCAACCAAGCTGGCCGATCGGAGGGTGATGCGTAGAATTCGTGCGGCTGAGCGCATTAGATGCTGTCGATAAGGGAGGGGTTCGAGAACATTTTCAGGGTAGGTAAGAGGAAAGGCAGGCATGGCCAAGTAGGTGGATGCGGTACCTACAGCCCATAAGCCGCAATAAACTGGTGGAACCAGCAGGCAAGCGAAATGTGGTAAAAGAACGTGGCATGTTTAGAATTGGTTCAGGCTCGTCTTCAGAACTTTCTCGTGTTGCCAAGGTGACCTCGATGAACACATCTTTACCTGAGTCCTCTGTCATAGTAGTTGTGGTAATTTCCAGCTTCAGACGTTTCGCCGGCATCAGAGTCGGCATCGTCAAAGAAGCTTGCTATTCTTAGCACCAAATTGCAATCTGTTAAAAAGACAAGTAAGTTCACCCCCTAGTCAACGTTCTGCCGAACATACCAGTTAAATTCAAAGGAAACGTGAGGCCTATTCCTTTGTCGGTGCATGCGATTTAAGGTGAATAAGGCTCATATTCTGCTAAACAGTTGTGGTATCTTTCCTTCTGTACAGATACATACACTTGAATGAGGTATAGTGTAATTTGGAAAGGTTAGATTATATCGACATTTCCAGCACAATGGAGGAGAGGAGACATTCGTGGATAATGCTATTAGGCTTTCCTCTAAAATAATTTAAAAGCAAGTAGGGAAGTATGATAATGAAGGGGGATACGGGACCATATGGGATAGGTGAATGAAATAAGACAGGAGTGATACCGCAACAGTTCAGCAAAAAGTTGCTAAAGGGATGGACTTACTTATTTCTGACGCTTTATAGCTGTGTGATAGGACTGTCAAAGCTCCCCGACGAGTCCATGGTCTGATTCCGGAAATTATCTCTTAATCAGAACTTGTTTACTCTGAGATATTTTCGAGTAAATACATTGAATGTTGTGATAAATAGGAAGTGAGGTAGGAGAATGTAGGAGCTAATGTTCCAGAACAAGAGGAATAGCAAAACCGTTCAGCATAAAATTGGTTGCTTTAACTCCATTTCGCCATTTTGATGAGAAGTATATTAGGGAAACGAAGAAAAATCAGCCTACGAATAAGCGAAATAAGACTCTGCAAAAGCATGAATACGGAAAGGTCAGAAATAGCAAAACAAATTGCACGGACAGGACGAGCATTCGACAAAAAGACTGGCTGAATTTGGTAAAAATACAAAGTGTCATCGATATCATGATTGAAAGAAATCTAATGAACAGGGGACAGGAAGAAGGCGGGATTGGCGAAAACTTTGCATATTACAAAGGAATGAAAAGATCAGCAAAAAGAAAATAAATCGCAAGAAGGCCACAGAAGAACAATTGGAAACCAAGAGGAGACTTTTGGAATGAGCCCAGCCAAAGCAAGTAGAACAAATATAACATTTTAGATTTGGTACAAAAGAGACTGTCATAGGACAGCCATAGACTTGGCATTACGGATAGAAGCAAGAAAGATACGGTGGAGACCAGAGATAGTTGGCTAATAGTAGACTAGTTCGATTATAGATGTGGTCTGTAAAGTAAAGCTTTTACCACGAGATACATTCGGTGCACATTCCGAACAGTGATTAGGGAATCTGCATCGTCAAGTTAGTTCTACATTCAGCTTGAGAATCCAGACTGTGGGGGCCTGTCCAGCATACATTCTATCAGAGGTTTGAGGCAGTGTAGAGCATAACGCCTCGAGAAGCACACATATTGTGGCAGTGATCAACTAAAAGCACTGAAACAGAGAGAAAAGAGAAGGATACTTTTGAGCAATATGAAGACTCCGATAAAACATGGAGGAAGAGGATTGTGTACGAATAGGGTAGATTCCGATCAACATTCCCAGTACAAGGGTGGGGGGGGGTGAGAAAGCCTGTGGTGTATGAATAGGCCTCGTGACATCCACTCAAAAAAGCACACCAGCACCACGTTTAAATAAGCAAGTAATACATTGTGATAGTGAAGGGGTGATGCGAGCATATAAGATAGGTGAATACCTCAGAAAAAAGGATAGATACCACAAGTGTTTAGCAGACAATTGATGAAAGGATCGACTTTGATTGACTCTTTTGCATGTTGTAGTGTGGTGCCAACAATGGCAAGGCTTACTGATGATGCCGGCGAAACGTTCGGGAATGTACCAAGTCCATGGTCCGACTGTGGAAATTATCGTTCAT